CAGATTGGAGTGTTGATTTTCCTTTGAGTATTTGTAATAGCCCCGTTACTGGGCTCTTGCCCTTTTAAAAAATGTATAGTTTTAAAAACATGCAAAAACATTTGACCAGGGTATATTTTAAAGAGACTGCCTAGAATGTATGTTGAAAGTGAACCTATTGAAGTGTGGCATCCGTGCAGAAGAGTGCACAGTCCTTGCCGCCTGCCGGATTCCCCTAAGGTGAACATCCCTGTAACCAGCCCCGGGTCAGGGATGGGGCATTCCAGCCTTCCAGGGGCAGCCTTCGCGCCCCCTTCTGTTCACCCTCTCACAGAGGGTAGCCACTGTTCTCACTTCCAGCAGGATATTGGTTTTGTCTGTTTCTGACCTTGATATAAATGGAATCATACACTTGGTCTTCGGGGGTCTGGCTTCTTTCACTCAATATTATTGTGTTTGCGAGGGCCATCCTGTTGGTGCATGGTGCGATCGTGTGTGCATTCTCGTGGCCGAATATTCCATTGTGTGACTGCACCACACATCGTCTGTCTGTTCTATTGCTGCTAAGCATTTGGATGTTTTCCAGGTTGGGTCTATTATGAGTAGTGCTGCTATGAACAGTCTTATGCTTTTCTTTTGATAAACTTATGAGCACGTTTCTGCTCAGTATATACCAAAGATGGGAACTGCGGGGTCATGGGATATGCGCATAATTAACTTTAGAAGATGCTGCCAGTTTTCTGAAGTGTGTGCATTAATGAGAGACAGGTCAGTGTGTCTTTAGATCAGAGTCCGCAGTTCTCATGAGCATAAGAATAAGGCATCTTGTCATCGTTACCGTTTTCTTTTAGTGTGGGAAATAAATTTAATAAAGAGGATTCAATGAAATCTTTCTAGGTAAAAGAACTTTTTAAAACTCCTCACCCATTTTAATGATGTTTTCACTATGCAATACAACACATATTTGCCTTTAGTATTTGACAGGATTGAGGAAGGGTCATGGGCCAAGGCAGGCAGTATCTCTCTGCCATGACTAGAGCTCAGGTTTCTGGAATTCCTTCGGTCCTCCAGGGAACACGACAACCTGGAAATAGCATCCCGGCCACCCGCCTACCCACCCATTCCCTGGCCCTGTTTCTGTGAGGATCTCATCCCCTGGGACTGAAGAAGCTGATCTTTTGGAATTGCCATTTTCATTTTCCAAGTCCTCTAGTAACCAAGAAGCTCTTTACCCTGAAGTCACCAAAATGTCAGCTAGGTATATCATTTGGAATTCTTGGCTTAAATTGAAACAAAAGCCCCCCAAATCCTGAATTCTATTCCTGTCACAGTTTCACATAGCAATAGAAAGTGATAAAAAAAATAAAAACCTTTGTCTGGGTCTCTTAATTATTCCTCACATTGGTCATATGTATAATAAAGTTATATCGGCACATTATATCTTGCTTAAAATAAATGGATAGAAAAAACCCAAATCCTCATTTTTTTCTCTACATGCAGGCATTAGGACTCCTAGATTATCCCGAACAAAAAGGTGGGGTGAATAAACTTAATAGCTTTGCTGAAAGCAATGCCTGTTTTTAACTTAAGACCTGGGTTCAGACCTCAGCACTTGAATTTTCTACCTGTGAAACATTTTCTAACTTTTAAACCATAGTTTTTAGGTCTGTAAAATTGATTTCAGATCCCTGCCCTGCCTACCACATAGGGTTGCTGCAAGATCAAATGTGACCCTTTATGTGAAATTATAAACTATGAAAGTACTAAACCTAAGACTTTGAGAGCTGGGCTTAGCAGGCCCTGTGTTTTAAGAAAGACGAGTACCGTCTGTTGACCTAGAGCAGTGATTTTCAACCTTTCTCATCTCATGGCACACAAAAACTAATTATTAAAATTCTGCGGCACACCAAAAAATATATTTTTTGCTGATCTGACCAAAAAATAGGTATAATTTTGGTTCATTCACACCAGACAGCTATTGTTGTGTTGGCTGTTGTCATTTTTTGGGGAAAAGAGGTCAGTGCCCCTGGCTAAATAGTAAGGTATTGTATGTTTTAAAAATTCTTGTGGCACACCGGTTGAAAATTGCTGAGCTAGAGTGTAGTGGAAACTCCCTCTGAACCTTGAGATCTTGTGCACACACATGAGCCTGAACTTTTAACCTTGCACCAGACACCGCTGGCTGACCTGTTTAGTTATGAGTTCCTTGTCTAGATTTTACTGGTTTCTCACTACCACCCCTCCTCACATGGGAAAGGAGATGGGCAAAATTTTTGCTTTGGTGAAGCCCCAAACTGTGATCAGGTCATCTTTCACTTCTGGAGGAGGGGCTGGAGGGTTATATAAAATAAGCAGTCTACAGAATCACTCCTGCCCATCTCTATAATTTCTTTCTTGCTTTAAAAATTTTCTTTTACCCATCTACATTTACTAGGTGTAGAGAATATAGAAATGCGTATAAGCCATAAAAAGATCTACATGAAAGTATTAGCAATCATTATCAATAATTGTTAAGATACTAAATGAGTGAAACAGAGATTGAAACAGCCTCATGGACACTTACCTGGCATATATTCCTACTGCTGATAAATTCACCGTTGTTTTAACACTGGAATGTCACTGCCAGAAATAAAATGAGAAATTGACCACACTCATCAAGATCTGAAGACACTACATGAATTATGTTAATTTTTAATAAGTGTTTTCTTGGTACTGAGCAGGTTTTGAAAATAAAATTCTAGAAAATTATAAAATATGGCCTGGGAATGTGAGGGGCAGTGACTTTGACCCAGCCTCTAAAAGCTTTCTAAGGTATTTACCAGAAAACTGGGAACTTGGAGTTTAGGAATAGAGGTCTATGGGTTCATAATTCCTTAACTAAAATAATCTGTTTTAGAATTCAGTATCCTAATGCCTCTTTATATATACATGCCCAGACCGGGAATCGAACTCGCAATCTGGGTATGTGCCCTGACCGGGAATTTAACTGGTTACCTTTTGGTGCATAGGATGACGCTCCAGCCAACTGAGCCACACCAGCCAGGGCAGTCCTGATGCCTCTTACTGATAAAACACCTGCAGTAAGATCTGGACAGAACCCTATAATCAGATGCATTAATACACCTACATCAACGCAAGTGAACACTCATACTAAATGGTTTAGCGAAGACTATAAATACACATCAGTCGAAGTTGGGATTTACTGCCAAATAAGTTCAGGTCAAGCCATGTTTTACTAATGAATGTGTCATGCAAAACTTTTTTGATTTTCAGGGCCTTTTGAATTTTAGAATTCCACATAAGGGACTGTTGGTATGCATTATGTTTGGGTGTTAGCTCCTAACAGGAGTGGTTTTTATATGGCCAGGTAGCCAATTCTCATGAGACAGTAGAGTTAGGAACACCGTATCTGGAGTCACAGTGCCTGGGTTCAAATTCCAGCCTTGCCAAGTGACTTTGGGTAAATTATTTAACTTCTCCAGGATCTTATTTTTTTATCTTTGGAGCTGTAGTAATTTTCTTATAAAGGTTAAATAAGGTTTGCATAGGAAGTACAATGTGTGTATTGCATTAGGCACTCAATAAATATGCATCAGTGTCCTTATCTGTGTAATGGAGATAATAATAATGCCTGTCACAAAGATGTTTTGTGAAACTTAAATAAGCAAATAGATGTCACGTGCTTAGGATAGTGTCTGCCCCATTATCAGCATTCAGTAAATGGTAGCCAGTATCATTATCAGTGTCACCATTACTAAAAGCCTGTACCTTTCCTATCAGCAGAGTCCTTTTTAGGAAAGAAAGAGAAAATAAATATCTGTAGAATGAATGAGTGGAGCACTGGAAAATTACGCTAATTCATAATTAGACTTTTCTAGACTGTAATTCCATTCCATCTCAGTTCTTCCCAAGATATTGCTGGCTACCCCCACGCCGCCCCCACCACCCGGCACCTTGGTCTTCCGTCGCTTGCCCAGCACTTGATGAACTTGGCACTTGTCTTCCTCATCACAGCCGTGCAGGTGTGTTAGGCTGTCTGGGAAGCTGTCCCAGATGCTGACAAACCCTTGGCAGTAAGATAGAAAGGCAAAAGGGAAATTTTGGCTGACGTCTCCAGGTCTGACTCCTTACTCATCGGGAGAGTTCCAGAGGTATCTTTAAAGTTTTAGGATAAATGATGAGGTTGCTGCTCCTTTTGAGTGTGTGTGTGTGTGCGTGTGTGCGCGCGCTCATGTGCCTCTACCAGATACATATGTTGGATTCTCATTTTTTCGTTTGTTATATGTTAATCTCTTGTGATTGCTTAGTAATGACAGGGTGTGATAAAGTCCTGAGTCTGCAGAGACATTTTAAGTGCGGGCAATGTATGGAGTGGGCACTAGGCAGGCAGAAAGCAGGGGAAGAAGGTGTGCCTGCATGTCACACTGAGACTCACGTCTTGGCACGGCTGTCGTATTTCCTGGCATGCAAGAACTGCATCTTCTCTTAAGGCCACGCATATTTGGCAAGCCCTGTTACATTGCCCTCCCAAGGGGGTGCTTAGGTAAGGAAGGTGATGGATAATATGGGTAGGTACTGGTTGGACAGGGACATGAGAGAACATGGAAAGAATCCTTTTTAAAGAGCTTTATTACATTGGACTTCAGTGTCTGTAAACAATTACAGCATTCAGGGAGTTCAGGATTTAAATGAGAAACACAACTTTGTCAGATTATACCGGTCTGGATAAAATGGCATGGGCTCCGGAAATCTATAATTAAATGTATTTTTGAAAATGAAAAATATAGCGTAACATCTGGTTTATTTCACGACAGAAGTGCCTGGGTATTGCTTATGTAAGCGTGATTGACTTTGGCTGATACTTGGATTTGTCTGTGTAAAATTACTGTATTTTAATTAAATTTTTGTGCTTGACTCTATTTGTGGTGTAAACAAATTATTCACACACACACGCAACTCATACAGAAAATGGCTGTGTTGTTTAGACAACCTAATGTGTGTTCCTTTTCTTTTTGTTGCAGAGGATATTCAACTCCTTTGTTTACACTGAGAAGATCTCAAATGGAGAAAGTGAAGTGCAGCAGGTAAGGTTACTCAGTGCCTGACCTTCTCCCTCCGTCTTGGCTCTTGGATGTGGCTTTGTTACTCTTTCCACACAATCTCCACATGAGGTTTCCTGTTCTCTGTATATCTTACAGGCAGTTGAAATAATAGTTATATGGATGGTTTTCTGTTATATGTACTATACTTCGCTAATACTATTGAATTCCTTTTTGTTGTTTTGGAGATTCCTAAACTACTCATATTTAAAACTATTAGGAAGTTATTTCATCTGATACAGGAAAAAGTACCCAGGTTTTGAGATCAGACAAGCCACAGGTCAAATTCTGGTTTTCCTACTTACTCCCTGACCCCTGGTAAGCAATTTAGCCTGTTTGAGCTGCAGGTTCCCAGGCTTACAGAAAGGGAATGTAATATCTGCCTTATGAGATTGTGAGGGTTAAATGCAGTAATGTCAAATTAACCGAGCGTAAATGAAACCCTTATGTGGAAGGGTCGGGCATAGAGGCAGCTCCATGGATGTTGGCTTCTTTTGTTCTTTCATTTCTCGTTCCTCCTCTTGGATTTTTTCTTTGCTTCTTTCCTCCCATCTTTTTTCAATGCTCTGTAGGGTCAAAAAGTTCTGAGGCCAGAGTCTGTTCACTTTATTTATACCTGGCTTCACATGGACTGCTTCCCAAATTAAAACACAGTGTTGGTGAACTTGGTCCTAAATAATTGATCTTCACTTGCAAAGAAGGGTGGTAAAGAGGATTCTGGGTTTTAATTTCAGCTAATCCACCCACTTCATTACACCCTGTGACTGTCAACGGGTAATTTGAATCTGGGTTGGAAACTTAAGTCTTAAACAGGACCACGCTAAAAACCAGAGTGTAGCAGAGAACTTCCTTCCACAGAGTAAAGAGATCACTATAGTAAAACACATAATAATTTAAACCTGAGATGCTTCCTTTTTTCAATTCATGGAAAACAGCTTGATCTGAACTTTAGAAGTGCTATACAAGAGGCTGAAGCTTTGCAAGTGTCGTTAGCGTGAAGTTATATGTAGGAAAGTTAGTTATTATAAATTACTGAGGGTTAGTCTTGATATTCAGCATTTCTTGTTTATAGACATTAAGATTTTTATGTAGGTTTCATCAGGTTTAATTTATAGGATGTAAGCAGCTGTGAATATATTTTTTTCTCTCTTAGCTTTAGGTATTTTTAAAAACGAATGACCTGAAATTATAATGAATGTGAAGTGGTTTGCTCCTTCAAGTCTTATCTTCGTAATTCCTATCTTATTTTTATTCCAGCAAACTAGAAAGTGCTTTGGGATCATGAAATTTAAAAGGGTTCTATAGGGGGAAGATTTTTGAACAGAGCATATTCAAGGAAACTTTTGGGGAGACCAGTGGCCACTTGATAACATTTTAAAGAAACTGATCCAGGGATATCAGTTTAGCTTCTTTCCCTTAAGTAACAGATACAGGTTCTCCCTTCAGCTGTTTTCAAACGTGCCGGTTGATTTGTTTTCTTGTACTGATGTCATAGCTTTATTTAACTGTGAACAAGTTTGGAAGCGTTCAATAATAAATTTTTTAAATTATAGCAACTGATTGAGCACTTATGGAACGCTGGCACTAGGCAATTTCAACTTATTATCGCAGTGATTTTCCTGAATAGCCTTGAAGGAAAGATATTATCCTTATTGTGAATGAGGAAACTGAAGCTCCAAAAGGAAAGTTACCTGTAGTCTCAGGACAATTAAGTAAGCTTTTAAAATAAGTTTCACACAAATATACCTGTATTTTTAACAGAATTTACTTTAAAATTTGTATTTTCATCCAAAATAAGAAGTCTCTGCTAACTCTATTTTTATCTGGATAATTCAAATGAAGGAGAGTTGCCCCATAGTCAATTCTGTTCCTCCTTTCTCTGAAAAGCAAAGGAGTTCTCTCCAATCCTGACCCAGAAGGTACTTTTACCTTCGTTCCAGTCTCTCCAGTCCGCCCTCTGGAAGAGCCCTGGACAAACAGATCTTATGCCTCTTTTGCATCCAGTATTTGGAGATAATTATCATGTCATTATCATTATCATTTAACCTAAATTTTAATATACCCAGGAGCTACTCGTAGACACTGAGAGGGGGCTGATGGTTGCCGGAGGGAAGGGGGTTGGGGTGGTGGCTGAAAGAGGTGCGGGAATTAAGCAGCATCGATTGGTAGTCACTAAACAGTCATGGGGATGTAAGTAGACAGGGAATATAGTCAGTAATGTTGCAATAACTATGGATGGTGCCAGTTGGGGTACTGGATGTATCAAGGATGTACAGTTGCCTCGCCGCTAACCTATATACCTGACACCAATACAAAATAAAGTTGAAAGGGAAAAAAAAGAGAAAGAAAATAAAATAGCCAGTCCTAAGTAATTCTTCTTTGTCGTGACTTCCATTCCCTTTCAGCCCTCTGGTAACAATAATAAAAGCTTAGATTTGCACATGTACTGAATGCTTTGCCATCACTTCACTGTGACACTCCTGTGGGCCGAGCTGGACAGGAATTACCCCCATTTTGAGTGAGGAAACAGAGATCCTCTTGTCTTTTTGACTTGACTAATAATTGCCCAGGAACTCTGGACCCTGAGATCCTGGACAGTACCCAGGAGGAAATCTCTAGGGAACGGCTCATCTCTTATGTTCACTCTTGTATAATAGGTGCCCATCAGCCACTCTCACTTTCACACCTGTTATCTCCTTTGAATTTCAGGACAACTCTGTAAGATAGGTGGCGTTACTATTTTTAACTTAGAAAGGTCAAGGGTCCTAGTTAATATGTAATTAAGCTGGCTTTTTTTTTTTAATTGTGAAGTTTTTTTTAAACATGTGAAGAGTATATAGAACATATAAATAGAGAGTGAAGAAATTAAAATGAATATCTCAGCCTACTACCCATCTAAAGAAATAAGCATGACCGTCATGTAAACAGACCTGTGTGACCTTCCCAGAGGGCATCTCCCTCTTTCTCCCAGAGATAACCTTATCCTGACTTTTTGTTAAGCCATTCCTTTGCTTTTGTGTGCATATATGTGCTGATTTGTTTTATATATCTATCTCCCCAATTTAATTATTTAGGTTGACTATTTTTATTCTTTAAATTTTCAGTATATTGTTTATATTCATGTATCTTATTCCTTTCACTTAGCATTATATTCCCTAGGATCACCTATGTTGAAATCTGTAGCTAAGGTGCATTTATTTTCAATCCTATGTGGTCGTATTCCATTAAATGCAATGTATGTATCCATTTTTCTACTGATGATGTTTGGGTTGTTTCTAGTATTTTAATTTTTTATTATTGTTCACACCTCCCAGTGCATAGTTTAGGTGGAGTAATTCTTTTAATTGAAGGAACATTATTATTCCCGGCCTCTGCCAGTTAAATGGTGGTGGTGGTGGTGGTGGTGGTTGGTGGTAGTGGTGGTGGTGTGGGTGTATCTGCACAATTTCCAAATGCCCTAGGCGGGGAGAAGCGCTTTAGCTCAGATGGCAAATCCCTTCTGGAAGAGAATTGCTGGGTGCCAGAGCGTGCAAGGATAATGACAACCAACTACTTCCTCAGTGGTTGTCATGGGTTACCTTCCTACAGGCTGTATTACAAATTTGCTGTTGTGTCCTCTGCAATACTTGGCATTACTGATTTTTATGTTGTCAATTTGGGGTGTCCAAAGTAGTATCTAATAAGTTTCATTTGTTTTACTCTGATTACTAATGAGGTTGAAATGACTTTTTGCATGTTTATGATACATTTTTATGTTTTTCTGTCCTGTCAAATGTCTACTAATGTCCTTTGTCCATGTTAAAATTGAGTTGCCTGTTTATTTTAAAAGTTTAGAAGTTCTATACATGTTCTACATCAGTGCTGTCCAAGAGAATTTTCTGAGATGATTAGTTCCATATTGGTGCTGATTGAGCAGCCACTAGCCACATGTGGCTACTGAGCACTCAACATGTGGGCTGAGCTACTGAATAGTTAAATTTTAAATTTTAGTTTCAGTTTTAATTAAAATAGCCACACATGGCCAGTGGTTATCATATTAGATTCCCTTGCAGGTTTGTTTCATAAATATATTCTCCCAATTTGTGGCTTTTCTTTTCACTTTCCTTATGCTATCTTTAAAAAGAATAAAGTGTTAATTTTAATAGTTTTTAAAATCAATCTTTTTGGTTTCTGCTTTTTATGTTTTGTTAAATTCTTTTCTACCCCAAAGATAAAAAGAAGTTTTCCTGCCCAGCCGGCGTGGCTCAGCGGTTGAGCGTTGACCTATGATCCAGGAGATCAAGGTTTGATTCCCGGTCAGGGCACATGCTGGGGTTTCGGGCTTGATCCCCAGCAGGGGGCATGCAGGAGGCAGCCAATCAATGACTCTCTAACATCATTGATGTTTCTGTCTCTCTCTCCCTTCCTTTCTCTGAAATCAATAAAGGCATATTTAAAAAAAAAAAGGTGTTCTCCTATCTTGTCTTTTGACTTTCTCATTTAAGACTTTTCTCCACCTGAAGTTGATTTTGGTGCTGGATGTGAACTAGATATCTAATTTCTTATTTTCCCCCATATGTATTTCCAAATGTTCTAGCATTATCTGTTGAACAGTTTGCCTCTGCCCCACTCCCCCACCCCCATTTGTTTTCAGTCATTAGTCAAGTTTCCATGTGTGGGGGAGTTTGATTTGGTTCTGTTGGTGAACTTTCTCTTTGTGCCAGTACCACATGCCTGGCAGGGTGACACTATCCTTCCATTTATTTTTCTTGAGAACATCTGTGGCTCTTTGCTCTTACATAAGAATTTTTGACCCACTTGCTCTTACATATGAATTTTAGAATCAGTTTGTCCAATTATGAAAGAAAATCTGATTGGGCTTTTAATTGGCATTACAGCAAATCTATAGATCAATTTGAAGATAATATCTTTACTAACATTGTATAGCTCTCCATGGACTTAGTAATTCTATAGTGTCTTTTAGCATAGTTTCGTAATATATTCAC